TATCCTTCTTTGGCTAGTGTTTACATGGTATCACTTTCTGTAATCCTTCCATTTTCTACCTTTTGGTGGTGTTATATTTAAAGTATGTCTCTTAGGATATAGTTGTTGCTTTTTATTTTGAGATAAGTTCTTGCTGAGTCACCCAAGCTGGAGTACAGTGGTGTGAACATGGCTCACAGCAGCCTTGACCTCCTAGGCCCAAGTGATCCTCTCACCTTAGCCTCTGGAGAAGCTGGGACCATAAGTGTATACCACTTCACCTGGCTAATTTTTGTATTTTTGAACCCCCCCCCTTTTTTTTTACTGATAGGGTCCCACCATCTTGCCAAATCTGGTCTTGAATTGCTGGGCACAAGTAATATGCCTGCTTTGGCCTCCTGAAGTGCTAGGATTATAGGTATGAGCCACTGTGCCCAGCAGCTGCTGTTTTTTAAATCCATTCTTATAGTCTTTGTGTTTTAATAGGGATCTTTAAGTCCATTTACTTTGTTTAATTAATAGAATTTACATACCATGTGATTCACTTTTAAAGTGTACAATTTAGTGGTTTTTAGTATATTCACAAAGTTATACGAAAAGCACCATTATCTAATTCTAGAATATTTCAGAAAGAAATCTCTTAACCAAATCTCTTAACCTTAGTAGAACTCTCCATGTCTGCCTCTGCCCAGCCTCTTGAAACAGCTAATATACTTTTTGTCTCTGTGGGCTTGACTATTCTGAAAATTTCACATATAGAGAATTATATAGTATGTGGTCTTTTGCATCTGACTTCTTTTATTTAGCATAATGTTTTCAATGTTTATCCCTGTGGTAGCATGAATCAGCACTTCATTCTTTTTGAATGACTGAATAATATTTTTATTCTGTGTACCTAGTGCATTTTGTTTATTCTTCAGTTGTTGGGCATTTGGATTGTCTTACGTTTTGGCTATTATGAATCATATTGCTCTGAATATTTATGTACAAGTTCTTGGTAGACATGTTTTTATTTCTCTTGATTAAATACCAGGAGTAGAATTACTTGGTCATTTGGTAATTTTCTATTTAACATTTTGAGAAACTGCCAGTCTTTTCCACAGTGGCTGTGCCATTTTACATTTCTTCCAATAATGAATGAGGGGTCTGATTCCTCCATATCTTTGCCAGCTAGTCTGTTTGCTTTTAAAATTATTAAACTTTCTCCCACTATATCCAGAAAAGACTAGGTAGCTTACCTCCTGACAGTCTGGCAAAGCAGAGAAGTTGAAGGAGAAGTATACCTTTGGTGGGGGATTCTTTAACACTAGTGTTAAGAAATGCTTAGGGATTTTTTTCTTATTTTTTCATAGCTAAACCCCTGTCGGGATTTGGGTTTTAATCTCTGCCTGCTGGCCCTGCCCTGCTCTGTTGCGGGAAGTTGGCCCCCAGGGGAAAGGGCTGTGAACTGCTCTGCCATTAAACTCACTGCCACCTGAGGGCGCTATGCTGATCTCCTTCTGGGCCCTGATGGCTGCCCCACCCACCTGCCTTCCACGCCCCAGCTCTCTGGTGGAGGTAGAGCCCAGGGAGCTGCCCGCGTGCTGTCCTTCCCCTCTGTTTTATGTTTGGGCTTTTTCCTGCCCTGCCTGGGGCTGCTTCTTGTCACCAAACCCTGGTCCTGTGGCAACTGCCATCCCTACTATCTGTGCCACTGTGCTGACTCTCAGCCTGAAGAGTGGACAATGCCATGGGTGGGACTGTGGGGGTGGGACCATGCGGTTGTTGGCAGAGGGCAACCCTGGGCCCCACACTGTGTCTACAGGGAGACACCACATTGTTCAGGAGCAGAAGCTGCTGGGACTGAGCTGGCCCCAGACCTAGTGGGCCCTCTCCTGGCTGCTGAGATGTTGTCTGTGACTGGCTGGGGGAGCTGAGCTGGAAGGGACACATTGGCAACCCAAAGCTGTTCTTCAGTCAGGGGAGGGAGGGGCAGGGCCCCCAATGCCCAAGCTGCATCTGGACGTTGCTGCTAGAGGACCTCATGGGCAGGGGAGTGGTAGGGACTGGACTGGGCAGATGCCCTGTGACTTCCCTGAGCACCCATGACTGCCCCATGCTTTCCCTGTTGTACTCTGTGTCTGTCTGGGCTGTGCCCAGGGGCTTCAATATTACTTTAATATTGGTTAAAATTATTAATGTGCTTGGATTTAAGTTTACCATTTTAATATTTGTTTTTATTTGCCTTGTTTTATTATTTCTTCTCTTATTCTTTATTTTCTGCCTTCTCTTGAATTAATGTTTCATTTTTCAAAATTCTTTTCCTCTGTCAGCTTTTTAGTTATGCATTTATTTCTCATTGTTTTAGTGCTTACTATAGAGACTGCAATATATATCTTTAACTTATTTACAGTCTTCCATAAAATAGAACTTTTTTTACTTCTTCACCAATAGAGAAATCCTGAACTGTTTGACTGAATGCACATTTCTTATCCTTTGTGTTTTTAATGTTTATATATTGTGAACTTCATAAGACATTATTTTTATGTTTATACAGTATTTAGTTATATTTCCCCACTTTTACCCTTTATTCTTTTCATGTGTTTTTGTAGTTCTGGAATCAGTTTTCTTCAATCAGGAATTCTCTTTACTATTTCCTTTATTGCAGATATCTTGGTGGTAATTTTCTTCAGCTTTTATTTGTAAATAACTTGTTTTACCTGCTTTCAAAATTGTTACTTTGGTGAGGTAGAAGTGTCTAGGTTGGAAATATTTTTTCCTTTTAGCACGCTGAAGATTCATTCCATTATTTTCTCTTTCCATTGAAATGCCTTCTCACATTGGTATTGTTGCTTCTTGGAAGTCAACTTTTAAAAATTCTCTGGCTCCTTTTAAGAATTTCTCTTTGTGTTTGGTTTTTAGCAGTTTAACTATAATTTACTTACGGTTTTAATTTTTAAAAATTCTGCTTGAGGTTTACAGAATTTCTTTGAATCATTAGTTTGATGATATTCATCAGTTTTGAAAACTTGAATATTTGGTTTCAAATATTGCTTTTGTCACTTTCTCTTTTTTAAAAAAATCTCTTATCTCTGTCATCAGTTTAGACATGTTTGAGATCTTTTTGTTTAACCAAGTCTCTCATCCTTTATACTGTTTCGTGTATTTTCTGCTCCTTTTTTCTCTGTATTCTTCAATGTGGATATTTTCTGCTAAACTATCTTCCGGTTCACTAACCCTCTCTTTAGCTATGTTTATCGTTCTACTAAATGCATCTAGTTAGTTCTTAATTTCAGATATTGTATTTTTTCAGTTTTAGAATGAAAATTGGATTTTATAGATTCTGGTTCTCTGTTGAAATCCATCATTTCTCTTTTATTTTTTTACTTTCATTCAATTGAACATATAAATCATAAATGTTTTTAGCAACTTGATAAAAATTTAACTATGTTCCTCTTATGTATCCCTCTTCTCCCCATACTTTGCTCCAGGCAAGTAATTGCTTGTGATCCATCTAATCTCGGAGATTATAGTCTCCATAGTGTTCAAACCAGTTGGTTGCCCTGAGACCTCAGTTTTCTGTTGTGTCCTGGAAAAGTTAAGATTTCTAGATTACCTATTTTTTATTATTAGGCTAGGAGTGATGCTCTTTACAACTTTCTGCATCATAGGCAGAAAATCACAAATGCCATTTTAAAGTCTCTTTCTGATAATTCTAAAATTTGAATTAATTGTGAGTCTTTCTGGTTTGACTTTTTTTCCTCAATTTTTTTCACTAGTTTTTTTTTTTTTTTCCACCTGGGTGCAGGAGGGGTAAGGCTGAAAAGGGTGTTAGCCTAGTTATTGTTTTTTTAAGCATGCCTCATAATGTTTATTGGATACTAGATAATGTGGATGAAAGATTTGCAGAGTCTGGAGAATGGTTTTTCCTCCAAAGATAGTTAATTTTTCTTCCTGCACTTCTGATTCTTTTTCCTTTTAGCATGCTGAAGATTGTGTTATCTGTCAAGGCTTGGTTTGGGGCTTTGTAAAATTTTCCTATTGTTCTTTTGTCCATATTCTTAAGGCGTGACTTTTTTGGAGTCACACCTAAGAGCTCAGGGTGCTCCTCCATTTTGGCAGTGCTTGCTTGCCAACCCATCTCCTCAACACTAATAGGCTGCCGAAATGTCTATTTGCCTCTTAATTTGGTTTGTTTTGGGTTTCTTGGCCTCTTGTCGTACATATTTGTAATCCTAGGAATCAGTTAATAATATGAGGCGAATTTTGCTGTAGATTTCTCGGTTCTTTCTCTTTAGGTATTTTTTGGGGGCATTTTACCTCCTGAAGTCCTCTTCCCTGCTTCAGTAATCCCAGCCTCCAACCTCTGCCTTCTTAGCCCACTGAGATTACAGTTATTATCTTGGGCTCTGTTTCCCATGATTGATTTGAAAAATTATCTTACACAAAAAAAAGGATTAAATGTGGAATTTGCTTGATTGGGCTTTTCTTCTCTCAAAGTTTTTTTGTAGCTCTGGAAGTTCCACCTGTATTTTTTTCTTTCTGGTGAACTTCACACAAGCTGTTTTGTATGTTTTCCCCAGCATTCATAGCTGTTCTCATTGAAAATGCTTGTTTGTTGCACTCTGCTCCATTGATTGGAACCAGAAATACCATATCTCTTTTTTTTCTGAAATGATACTAATGCTTAACACAGTTCTTTAAATACTGATTCAGAGTAACTGATTGCTGTTGCAAATCTTTTCAAGGTTCAAATTGTTTTGAACTGATAAAATTCAATTTTTATATAATAACCATGGACCATAAAGGTTAACTAGCTGTAAACCTTACTTTTATCTTCTGGAGTAAAAGCAGGTGTTTGGTGCATTAGGAAAGATCTCTGAAAGCCAGGGTAGAAATAACGGATCACTGCTACCACTTAAGCTCTTTTAGCTAAACCTCAAATCTGGCATGTAGTTTTTCCGCTCTTTCAATTGTGATCATTGGAAGGCTTTCATAGAATTGGAAATTCTTATCTGAATCTTTCATGTTTTGATCTCTAGGAAGATGAAGTCCTCAGTACATTCTGAAGAAGATGATTTTGTTCCAGAGCTACATAGAAATGTACACCCTCGAGAGCGGCCTGATTGGGAAGAAACTCTTAGTGCAATGGTAAATAATTTTATCCAATTGTTCATATATATATATATATAAAATGTATATATAGCACTTATATAAGGGAAAGGAACTGAGGACATATTGCACAAAAAATAAAATTTTGTTGCTTTGTTCATTTATTCAGGAAATATTTATTGAGCAAATACTGTATTTTTGGCACTGTTGTAGATTCTGTGGGCAGAGTAATAGGGTTACAGAGTGGTAAAAATACAGTGTGAAAGGATAGATGCTAATTATATAGGGTAGTCACAGATGGCCTCTGTGGGAAGATGAGATTTGATCAAAGACTTGAAGGAGGTGAGGGAATGAGTAGTGTGTTTATCTGAAAACACATCATTTTAGGCAATGGAAGAACAAGTTACAGGCTGTAGCATAGGATTATAGAACAAGTTGGAAGAAACACAAATAGGACAGTATGGCTGAAATTGGATGAGAAAGAAATGAGGTCAGAGAAGTGGTTTGGGTGGGTGGAAAGCAAATCATGCAGTTTCTTGTACTTTATTGAGGAAGATTTTGGCTTTTTATGCTGAGTGAGATGGGAAACCCTTGGAGGATGTTTGGCTTAGCAGTGACACAATCTGACTTAAAATGTTAAAGAAGTCTTAGGTTACTGTAAGTAGGAAGAGGCAAAAGGGGAAGTAAAGAGAATCTGTGTGTTATAATTAATAGGTAAATGGTGATGGTTGCTTGAACCAGGATGATAGGACGTACGGTGAGAATCAGTTAGATGCTATAATTTTACTGATAAAACCAGCTGTTTTTGATAGAGTATGAAATAAAGATATATTAAGAATAGCTTTCACTGGGCATGGTGGCTCATGCCTGTAATCCCAGCACTTTGGGAGGCCAAGGCCAGCTGATGATGAAGTGAAGAGATTGAGACCATCCTGGCCAACATGGTGAAACCCTGTCTCTACTAAAAATACAAAAATTAGCTGGGTGTGGTGGCGTGTGCCTGTAGTCCCAGGTACTTGGGAGGCTGAGGCAGGAGAATCACTTGAACCTGGAAGGCGGAGGTTGCAATGAGCTGAGATCATGCCATTGCACTCTAGCCTGGTGACAGAGTGAGACTTTGTCTCAAACAAACAAACTAAAAAGAATGGCTTCAAGTTTTTTGGCTTCATCAACCTGAAGAATGGAATTTATATTACTGAGATGCTGGTAAAGCAGTTTTGGGGGATAGATGGAAAAACCAGCAATGTAGTTTTTCACATGATACTTAGTTTATTAAACATTTTTGTAACTTAGGTCTATTAATAAGAAAAGAAATTCTTTCATGGGAGAGGACATTTTACTGAATTGTGCTTAAGAGTCAGTGTTCTCTGTCAAAATAAAATGCAAATGTTCATCTATCAGTGTGGATCTGTAATGATATTTTACTTGTTTCATTTTTGTGTCTTTTCAGTCAGGCACAGCAAATACTGACATAAATTCACAAACATTTTAATTGTACATATTTATTACTTGGAAGGCATTTATAGAATTCTGTTAGATTCTCTTCTTGATATTTGCCTTTTAGCATGTTATTGCATTGTTAATTAATCAATTCCAATTAAAGATTATGTGGAAATTCTCAGTTGAACAGTTAAATGGAATTTGTAGTATGGAAATTTACTTTGCATTTACATCGTGATCTGAAAAACCCTGCTGGACCTGTAGTTTGAGCTCAGAAAATATATTCACTACACATTTGTATGGGAATGGAAATCTTCCTTCTTGTTTCAGTGTTTGGTCGCTTGGGAAGTATGGTCAATTGCTTGTGATTACTTGTGATTCTCAGAATACTAGTTGTCATCAAGATGACTTTACTGTCTGTGTTTATTATATATAAACTATGTTCTCTTAATTGTACATTAATTTCACCAAGAAATACCAAGTCTGCAGTAAAAATTATTTAGCAAAGTCATTTAGTGTTCTGTAATTGATGTCAAAAATGTGTATATCTAAAGCCTTTTTGTATTCCATGCATATTTACCAGAATTCGTTATATCTTAGTAGATTCCACTTCATGTTGTACTGAATAAATGTTTGCTTAAGTTATGTAAGAATATTCTCACCTGTAGCTGTCCCATGCAGACTGTTCATAGGAGCTAATTCTTGAGCCACTTTACACTCAACATTGACTCCTCAACAATAGCAATATTGGTTCCATTTGTTGACTTATCAAGAGTCAGGGAAAACCATTTGAAATTATTTGTCTTGCTTTTAAGTGATTATTGATTTGTTTCCAGTGTCCTCAACTCTTAAAGCAATTATCCTCACCAGTAGGCTTAAACCAGTTTTTTTTTTTTTTTTTAAATTTGGACACATTTCTTTCACTGCTGCAATCAAATGTGATTTAATAGATTCACCATTGGTAAATGACATTTCTTGCTTGCTGATAAATGAACTACTGGGAATTGTGCTTAGGTTGCAATCTTGTTCTTTTTTTGTGAAGAAATTCTGTGTGGTTATATATTCATTTTTAGAATTTTCTAATTTTTCAGAGTGCTATTTTCCTATGAGTTGAGAATATTGTGATGAGTGCATAGTTTGGTAATGTCAATGTATATTCAATTATTTTAGCACAGCTGTAGTGTCATTGTATGATAAACACAATGTTTTACCATCTAATTTGATAACAAAATAATTGATAATCATCTGTGCCTTAAAGTATGACATTCAGGTCAGGCTCGGTGGCTAACGCCTGTAATCCCAGCACTTTGAGAGGCCGAGGTGGGTGGATTACCTGAGTTCAGGAGTTTTAAGACCAGCCTGACCAACATGGTGAAACCCCATCCCTACTAAAAACACAAAAATTAGCCGGGTGGTGGCACATGCCTGTAATCCCAGCTATTTGGGAGGCTGAGACAGGGGAATTGCTTGAACTCAGGAGACAGATTGCAGGGAGCCGAGATTGCGCCACTGTACTCCAGCCTGAAAAACAAGAGTGAAACTCGGTCTCAAAAAAAAAAAAAAAAGTATGACATTCAAAGTCTACCTACATCTTCTTTTCTTCTTTTTATTTTTGTGTATATGTAATGGTAATTTAAAAAATGTGGCATGGTAATACACATGGAAATTGAAATGTTAGTTATAATTTGATACTGTAATTTATAGTGTGCCACACAGCAGTGGGAATTGAAGGGAGAGCCACATACAGTCTTTTTTGCACCTATTCACCTCTGTCATTATATTGTGAAAACAGTCATAAATAATACATAGCAAATGAGTGTGATGGTGTTCCAATAAAACTTTATTTATGTAGACTGATATTTGAATTCCATGTAGTTTTTCACATGTCAATAGTCATTCTTTTTTTGACTTTTCCCCCTAAACATTTATAAATGTAAAAACTAAACTCAAGGGCTATACAAAATATATTGGTGATGGGCAGAATTGACTCTCGTTTTTTAACTATTTGTCATATAATTTTTAAAAAAATTTTATTTTATTTCAATAGTTTTTGGGGAACAGGTGGTTTTAATTACATGGGTAAGTTCTTTAGTGGTAGTTTCTGAGGTTTTGGTGCACCTGTCACTGTAGCAGTGTACATTGTACCCAATGTACAGTCTTTTATTCCTCACTCACCTGTTGCCTTTCCCCTTGAGTGCTGAAGTCTGTTATATAATTCTTGTGCCTTTGTGTCCTTATGGCTTAGCTCCCACTTATGGGTAAGAACGTATGATATTTGGTTTTCCATTCCTGAGTTACTTCACTTAAACTAATCATCTCCAGTCCCATCCAGGTTGCTGTGAATGCCATTATTTTATTCCTTTGTATGACTGAGTAGTAATTCATGGTGTATATATACCACATTTTCTTTATCCACTTGTTGGTAAAGGGCCATCTAAGCTGGTTCCATATTTTTGCAGTTGGAAATTGTGCTGCTATAAGCATGCATGTGTAAGTATCTTTTTTATATAATGACTTCTTTTTCTCTGGGTAGAGATCCAAAGGTGGAATTGCTGAATCAGATATTTCTGCTTTCAGTTATTTAGGGAATCTCCATTCTGTTTTGCAATAGTGGTTGTACTAGTTGACATTCCCACCAGCAGTGTAAAAAGAAAGTGTTCCCTTTCACTATATCCATGCCAACATTTATCATTTTTTAATTTTAAAATTATGGCCATTGCTGTAGAAGTAAGATGATAGCTCATTATAATTTTAATTTGTATTTACCTGATAATTAGTGATATGGAGCATTTTTTCATGTGTTTGTTGTCCATTTGTCTATCGTCTTTTGAAAACTGTCTATTCATGCTCTTTTCCCACTTTGTGATGGGATTGTTTTTTTCTTGCTGATTTGTTTGAGTTCCTTGTATATTCTGGATGTTAGTCCTTTGTCAGGTGCCTAGTTTGTGAGTATTTTCACCCATTCTGTGGGTTGTGTGTATTCTCTGCTGATTATTTCTTTTGCCGTATAGAAGCTTTTTAGTTTAATTAGGTCCTATCTATTAATTTTTGTTTTTATTTTATTTGCTTCTGGGTTCTTGGTCTTGAACTCTTTGCCTAAGCCAATGTCTAGAAGAGTTTTTCTGGTATTTTGTTCAAAATTTTTATGGTTTCAAGTCTTAGATTTAAGTCTGATCCATCTTGACTTGATGTTTGTATAAGCTGAGAGATGAGGATCCAGTTTCAGTCTTCTACATATGGCTTGCCAGTTATCCAAGCACCATTTGTTGAATAGGATATCCCTTCCCCACTTTATGTTCTTGTTTGCTTTGTCCAAGAGCAGTTGGCTATAAGTATTTGGCTTTATTTCTGGTGGGTTCTTTATTCCATTCCATTGGTCTACATGCTTGCTTTTAATGCCAGTACCATGCTGTTTCTGTAACTATAACCTTGTGGTATAGTTTGAAGTTGAGTAATGTGATGCCTCCAGGTTTGTTCTTTTTGCTTAGTCTTGCTTTGTCTATGTAGGCTCTTTTTTGGTTCCATATGAATTATAGGATTGTTTTTTCTAGTTTTGTGAAGAATGATGCTGATATTTTGATGGGAATTGCATTGAATCT